GAAAGGGTGTGAAGAGAAGCAGGCACAGTTGGTGCAATTGATTAATTTTGCCATAATATTCTGGCTTGATTAAAAAGGGAGCGCACTAAATGTTAACGAAGGAGGAAACTGCAGAAAACGCAGCTTGCAGGGTTTTGCAGCTGTAGCAAAGTAGGATGGACTGATTGGGAAGATTAGCAGATCTTGATGGTAAGGCCTTATCACAAGCTGCTTACTGGTGAGTGTAGTTGTCAGATGTGGTGAGTTTCTTTGTTTGGCTAAATGCTTACAGAGGCTGAAAACAGTTTTTTTTTTTGCTGTGGATACACTTAGTTTATTCATTAGTCATCTCCCATTTCGATTACTGTAATGGCTTCTGGCTAGATATTGTCCTTCTGCTCTTCACTTACATTCTATTCAAAAATCTTCCACATGCATAATGTCTTGTCATCTTTTCTGTTCATTTAGTTTTGCTGCCAGATTGATCCCCTTAAAAAAACTTTAAAGGACACTCTCAAGATGAAAACAAAACCACACCTTAAGTTCCTACTTGAAAGAAACGGTTATTTGTGTTATTTTGTAGCTATATCATAAAAAGTATTTTAAAAGCCCATCACTCCACCCTGGAGTTCTGCAGGATGTACCTGGCCATGAACGATCATAGTAATTCAAAAGACTTCTGCTCCCACTGTGTGGGGTCCTGCACTCAGCCAGCTGGCTACCACAAGGAGAAGAGATTCAAGATTTCCTTCTAGAAGAGAGGGAGTGGTGCTTGCTCATGCATTGCATCCTCTTCTACCTTCAAGAGAGCAAGAGGGCAAGTTGCTGCTAGCACCTTGGTAGCAAGAAGAGAATAACTTCCCTTTAGTTTATAGTGCAAAGCTGCCGTGGAAGAAAGCCATAAAATGACGGCTTTGGTAGCACTTGTGGTCTAAAGAGCATTTCCCTTCCCTCTTTCCATGCTTTCATTTCTGAAAGGCAGCTGGGAGAAGAGGGCTCAGAAGGTGAGGCAGGGAGGTAGGGTCACGCTGTGTTACTGGCAGGGAGAGAAACTGACTGTCTCAGGTTCAGAAGTGAACCTGGGGATCTGACAATTGTGGACCATTGGTGGTGGGTCATTATAAGAGTGAAGGAAAATGGCTGTTAGAAGGAAGAGAAGGATTTTCAGCTTAAAAGGGAGAAGTGGATTGGATTAACAGGTGATTGGGCTCATCTTGAAATCCAGTGATGGATTTGTTTCCATCTGTGTTGTTTGCATGTGTGACTGTCCTTTACTTTTATAGAAGTTACTTGTATCCTGAAGGATGGTAAGAGAAGAGAGTGTCTCTCCTAATAGGAAGGAAACAAGAGCTTACTTGATTAGGGATTTGCAAATGGAGTGTAATTGCAAATGGTTGGAGATAATGAGAGTAAAAATTTACATGTTAATACCAAAATTAATAACATTAAGAAATACAGTAAGAGAGAAAGATTCCATGAGAATCCAGGAGTCAGGAGCCCTGAGAACTCTTCCCAATGGCATATTGTGTGGCAGTGGAAGAATCCTGCTGGATGTGACTCGTATGAGCAGTGAGAACTTGCAGCTCCGTGTAGGTCGCTGAAACAGGTAAATGCTCCATGTCTCAGCAAATCATCCCTAAGGCTGTAGCTCTGCAGCTTGCCAGGCTCCAGCAGTCCACACAACGCTGGGCTTTTGACCTCTTTCAAAAAACATGATTACTTTCCAAAACAGTTTCAGAGCCTTGGAGAGAGTGATTCTGCAGTGATTGTGGAAATACAAATATTTTTCTATTGTCTAATATTTGATCTCAACTACAAAATAGCTTTTTAGCTTTACAGTCTGTTCGCAAGTCCTCATCTCTATGTCAGAATGGTTACAACTGGGAAATAATGTTATAATTCCTTGCTAGTAGGATGGCCAGGGAATAGGTTTAAAATGCTTTGAGATTTGAGAATATTTTTCAAAGCATTTTAAACTGTTGACTCCAATCTGTGGAGGAGACAAATGTGAGCTGATTGGATCTGGACCATAGCAGTTGTTCTGTTTGGTGTCCTTGTCCCGTGTCACAGGCCTATGCTCCTGGACAGAGCAGCCTTTCCTGAAGGCTGTGTGGAGTATATCATGTAGGGCATGGGAAGCCTCAGCAATAATCATGTCTTGATTTTTAGCTTTTCTATCCCCACTTTCTAGTCTCTCTTTTCCATTTCTTCTCAAGAAAAAAAGCAGGTGCCTGTCACGGCAAAAGGAGAGGTATGACATAGACTTTGAGTCAGTGGGAAGTGAATGACCCAAAACCACCTGCAGCTTGGAGCTGGCCCTGTGTGTGTGGTAGAGCTGCTGGGCTGGGTGAGGAGTGCTCCCCACTTTCGGGTTCCTCATCCTCCTATGCTGCCCCCAGCAGCAGCTGGAGCTCAGCAGGGGAAAGTCTTGGCCCCTGGCTCCACGGGCAGACGGGGCTGCGGACCTGCTTTGGGGGCCCTGGCATGGCCAGGGCTCCTTGGCCTGGTGGAGCAGGTGGACCGTGGGCATCTGCACATGGGTACAGTGTGACACTGGTAGTGTGTGTGGGACTTAGAGATACCAGCAAGGTGATAGGGAGGTGGGACAAGCAGCCCCAAGTGGGAACTGCAAGCTTAGGGGAGAAAAGTCAGTTTTTCTAGAGCCTGGAGTGCAAGGAGAGTTTTTGGGGGAGAATAGATAATAAGGCTTGTTACAGCTGTGGTGAGGGGAAGACACTGGAAGATGGGATGCAAGGTTTCGGCTAAACTAGAAGGTGAAGGACCTTGCACATGTGTGTGGGTGGGATGACTGAGGAAACACGGGAAGGGCCCCCAAACAACTGTAGAAGAAAAAAGGAAGAGGCCTGATTAAAATCCTATGAGAAGGGCTGAGCTAGGGCATGGGTTGGCCAAGAACGGGGTGGGGGGAGTTACATTGTTATCAAACTGGGCCACAAAGAATGACCAGAAAGGAAAATGTGCTTTGTGTCTTGGATTCATGCAGGACATACTGAGACATGGGACATGTGAGCAGAAAATCTGGGGTTAGCAAACATGGAGTGATGTATCCATGTTAAAGTTTGTGTATGCAAACGAGAAATAAACTTGGGGAAAGACTAATTGGATTTGAAAATTGATGTCAGTGTGAGATTTTTGGAGGGTGATTAAGAATTTTTTTATGTTTTTTTTAAATCCAGTGACTGTTCTGAGAAACTGAAGATGTTGCTATTAACCAGAAAGGTCCTTTGCTCCATGTCTCATTTTGACTGGCATTGTTACATTAATATCTACGTTTCTTCTGCTGAATTACTTTCTGATCTGCAGTGCTCCCTGCCTCTCCTCCAGCCCTCCTTTTTTTTTTTTCTTATTTTCTGTCTATCAAAAATCCTTATAAAATCCTTGGCTTCCCCCAGCCTTGTTTCAGCCAGGTAATTTAGCACGTGCTGTTGTCTGCGCATGGTGATGTTCACTTCCCCAGCATGAGAAGTCCCTAAAAGTTCATCTCAGTCCTTCAGTGTACTAGTCCCACACGCAGTTTGCAGTGTTGCAAATCCTGTTAGTTCTGGGGTTTAGCATAAAGGGAGTGTGTGGTGGGGTTTTTTTACCAAGAGGCAAAGCCATGGTTTGTTGGTTTTTTTGTTGCTTTCTCAAATGCCAGATTACTCTTGTTTGTGTAATTGACCCTGGTGTGCCCAAATTAACTTTTTAGGAGCTATATATAGCTGGCTTACTTGTCTTCTTTTAAAATTCAGATCATACTATACTTTGTTTTAATTAATTACATAATCTTGTTTGTTTCTGTTTATTACTGTTTCTTATGCTGTAGCATGTGCTGGCTTCTTTCTAACTTGCCAAAACGAAAAAGAACAAACCTCAACCACTCTTACGCTGTAATCTCCTTGAGCTACTCATTTGTCAGTAGAAGCTTTAGAATAATACAAACACGTATCTGGGACACTCTCTCTGGTAACGAATGCTATTTGCTCAGCTCACACCTGCTGCAAAACAGGTCTGAATTAGGGAGCTTTGCAGTGTAACTGCCAGGCCAAAATCTTGAGCTTTCTCTGGTCAATGGGTGAGGTAATTCTAGAGGGTAGTTCTGTCTCCTGTCTCACCTAAAAGGTTGCTGGTCTTAAGCTGCTCAGATTTTATTCCTGGCAGAGGTTAGCTTGGTACTGACAACTTAAAGTGCGTCTTGGATTTTCCTCCAGGCCAAATTCAGGACCAGAGAGGTACTTAAGGACATGGTGAAAAGTCAGTGCCACGTAATGCAGTCCTCTGTGACAGCTTCTCTGTGAGCACTGTGGAAAGAGTTGCCACAGAGCTCCTCAAGGCTGGTCCTTTCTCTGTTCAACATGGTGTATTCCCTTCTGGATCTGGCAGCGAGCCACTTCTGTGCAGGCTCTGTGTGTTGAAGAAGTACTGTTTCAACCTATAAATAAAGAAGCTTTGAGCAGCCAAACATGCAGACTGCTGGTGTAACTACCCGTACATTCACAGCAGGTGCAACAAGCCCTCATCCTAACAAGAGAGGGCAGGCATTACTTTCTCCTTGCCCTGCTGGAGTCACCTTTGCATTATCTGGATGACACCTGTGCTAACTTACTGTCACCTGACTCCATTCTTGGACAGGCACAGGGAAAACAAATGTGCTTATCAGCTGACATAAACTAGACTAAGACTTACATCATCCAAACACTGAATGAGCAGCAGCCCCAAGCTACCCTGATGTGTCCTGGCCTCATGTGTGCACTGAACAGAAACGCAACCAAAAAAGCCTTGCAGTACAGAGGCAAGGGGCCGCTGACCCCATCACCCACTTTCTTCTCCAAGAAGGGGGAGGTAGAAGCACTTATGTGCTGCTTCCCTGTTCCCCTTCAGTAACTAAGAAGCTGTTTTTATCCTTTGCTTGGTGTTACTGTGAAGTGCATTTACAGCTGGCTTCTGCTGCCTGCCCTGGCAAACAGCTATGTAAGAAGCAGTGCATTACTAACAGAAGCATGTTTTATTTTCCTTTACAGGTAACTGTGCTGGTCCTTTTTGCCCTCGCATTCTTAACGTGTGTTGTATTTCTGGTAGTCTACAAGGTTTACAAGTATGATCACACCTGTCCAGAAGGATTTGTTTTCAAGGTAAATTGTGTGCACATTCTAGAAAAATAGGAGAGTATGTAATATTCTCTATGCTGTTTTCTGCATAACCTCAATTAAGTCATGCTGTATTGCATAGGAATTTGTGTTTGTTTCTGTAGGTTAGTGTGCTTCCTGCTATGTTTCTTTCTGATTAATTTATAATTGAGGTTGTACTGTCGCACAATTTTCATAATGTTGTTATTTTGCTAATGCTTTGAATGTTGAAAAACCAGCAAAAGTCCCAACACCAGTGTCCTTCAAACCTACTTCATCTGCAGCTGACTGGACAAAGCCCTCAGTTATTGGGTCATATGGTTTAAGGTTGCATGTTCTTCCAAATTCATGTGTCTTAAAAAAGAAGAGAATGATAAAACCTGGAGAAGAAAAATGACCCTGGAATATATGTCAAAGAAACAGTAGAGTGATGTTCTCAGTAAAAGCAGCAGAGTTGCCTTAGGGTTATTTTTGTAGAAAGAACTTCTTGTTCTAGAATAGTGACCTCTGAGCCCTACTGCCACAGGCTAAAAGTGATGCCAGAAAAGGGAAAATACATTTATTGGAAAAAATACTGGTGCCAACCAGAAGGGAGGCTGGGGCTCGCTTCATGCGTGCGAGATGGTAGTGCTGGCTCCTCAGCTATGACCTGGGCTGGAAGTCAGAAAGGGAACAGATTTCTCAGTTGTAAATTTAGCAGGGTTGAACTTGGCTGTAATTAGATAAGAAAAGTAGCAGTGATGATGGTGTTCTTCCCTCTGATTTTTCAAGATTACTTAGTGACATAATGAATCCAAAGGGTACCCAGTATGATCTTCAAAAGGATTTAAAAAGGAATGGCTGCCTCAGCACCCCTTTACAAACCTGTTCAGGACTTTTGATTCTGCCATTTCAGGCACATGAGTATCTTTGAAGAATCTAGTCCAAAGTTACAATCGGTGGTGCCCTGCTGGATTAGCTTGGCTCCAAGCATTCCGTTTTAGGTTACTGCTTCCCCTTGGTTCAAGGGCAAAAGCTGCTGTGGTTAGAATATTTGTAACTGAGGAGATTCAGCTCTTGGTTCTGCTGTTCAGTGTTTGTGTTGTCTCAGACAAGCACTAGAACCCCTCTGTGCTGTCTGATGGGACGACAGCCTTTTTTTTATTTTTTGAAGCTTTCTCTTGCCTTTGAGCAATTTGGAATATGGACTGTATCTTCCTACCAAGCTTATCCTGATGTGATCCTGACTTGACAGGAATGGCCAGTGATGTGCTCCTGTCAGAAGTCTGGTAACAGTCCGCTGCTTCTGCTTCCTTTCATACCACGTTGTCCCTTTGAGTTGTAGCCTTCTGGCTTCTTTTGTCTTTTCTTCCTAGTGTCACAAACATTTAAGGGGAGAACAGTTTCTTAGCTATATTTCAGTTGCACTGTGAACAGTCCAGTTGGGTTTCTCTCCTTAGGGCCCTGGTTTGAACCAGAAGTTAGGGAGAACGTCCCACAGCTCGTGGTTTGTTTTTAAGGTGCAGCGCATACACAGGGCTGCGTTACTCTGACCCTCCCAGTGCTGGGTCCCACGGAGGCTGTTTCCTAGCTGCTTGATGGCATAATGCCAGGAGACACAGCATCTTTGGTCATGTAACTCTTTTTAAAAAGAGTTTTACAGGATAAAAACGTTAGCAAATGGCACAAGGCCTGAACCTACCTCTGTTGACATGAATTTGTATTTGTTGCCTTTGCATCTGGTTTTGGGAGAGTCCATAATACGTCATGGCATAACTTGGAACAGATGTCCTAAAAGAGATGAAGTCCAGCACTTGGTGACCAATGTCTCTGTGGATTGGCTTTGTGCTTCAGGTGGACTCAACAATGTTTTCTGGCCTGGATGTCCCCAGGCTTTGGATGCTGATGTGATTTCCTGGTTAAGAGCAAAGGTGTCCCCTGTCTCAGGAAGCTTGGTACCATGGGAATCTCTGCATAAAGGCTGAGCTACTGCAGCTCTGAGTCAGACTCAGTCTTCTCTGCTTTGATGCTCTCATACATGGAGCAGTTCCAAAGGTTTCAGTGTTTTCAGCCTTTCTGCTGTCCTACACATCCAGGGCTTGAAGGTGTGCTTAAAAAGGTGCATATTTTCCTTTGTATAGCAATCTTAAACTGCTCGAGCCTCAACTTTGTGCTTGCTCAAGCTTTCTGCCTCAGCCCTAATACTGCTGTTGTGTAGATCACTCCTCTGAAGCACTCGTTACTGGCTGTTAGTGAGAGTCACCAGCGTTTTGCTCAAAGACCTGAGCGCATTTACATCCTGGAGGAATTTCTCCAAGGCTTCAGTGTGCTCCCTACTACTGCATCTGTTACCTTTTAGCTTCCCTTGCCAAGGCACCTGCGTTCTGTCAGACTCATGGACAGCACAACAAAGTGATTTCAGTGCATTAAAGACAACATCATCATCTATTAAGTTTGGAATTACTGACACAGCAAAGTTCATGTGACAAGATACTATTTATAAGTGAATACCATCAGGGTCTTTATGTCACAGAGACAAAAGGAGTCATCTTCAAACAGCCAGATCCAGACTGGCAACCAGGATTCTCTCTGTCATCAAAGGCCTTAACCCTTAACTAATTTCTGAAATAGAAGGGTTGTGAAAGAAGCAAGACACTGGCAACTCAGTCTGGAGCATCCCAGTTTCTTCTCATGGCCTTCCTTATTACTTCTCTCACCTGGGAACCATGGAAACAAATAAAAAGGTTGGAGAGGAATGTTTGCATAAGCTGAAGGTCCCAGGCGAGCGGCAGGATGAGGATTGGTGCCAGTTTCCATGGCTCGGTCACTCCCCAGCGCTGCATGGCTGGCCTTGATTAGGAGCTAAGGAAAGGGGGCTGTCCTTGGGCTGTACCCAAGGAGTAATCAGTAAAGGGGAGGTTTTTCCTGTCTTTTCTAGAAACATGAAATCCTGGGAGCAAGAATGCAGTCCAGATGGAAACTGTGCTGTGTTTCTTTAGGCTCTTTTGATAGATGTTGTGCGTGTTTGTGACTAAGAAAAATAACATTACTGAATCATTTTGCCTGTTACAAAGCAAATTGCTTCTAAAAGCAACAAAAGATTCTGTGGCATTTTTTTCAGACTGGCAGTAATCTTGGCTTGTCTTCAGTACTAATAATTATATTTGCTTGAATTTCTTTGGCAGATTTAATTAGCTCAATGGATTGTATTTCTTCCCCCATTTTAAATATTTAGAATTGTGCCTACATCCTATGACTGGGTGAAATAATCACTACAAAGATGTCTGGGTCTTGCGTACTTCTTAGTCATTTTATTACATCAGAAGTAGTGCCAGTTATCCCAGATAAAGCATGCAGAATAAATACTTCCAGAATGCAGCATGGTGGTGTGAACCTGTTTATCAAATAGCTCTATTCTAGAGTTGTCGTGGATTATTTTTTTTTTTAAATCTAGGTCCTGGTCTTGTAGGTGGGATATACGATGATTAATGACCATGGGGAGACCTCCATTGACTTAAACAGTGCTGAACAGGCACAGGTGTCTGCTTAGCCGGGGTTAAATCCCATCTGCTTTGTAGTGCTACTGCAAACAGAACTGTGAGGGAAGATTTGCCCTGGCTGCTCAGTTAACAAAAGATAACAAATAAACACTATTGGAGGCTGACACACCTCGAGGTTTCTGTCCCACAAGCAGGTTAGAATCGATGTGGTGTTAACTCTGCAGGAGCAGTGTTAGTCTTGGGACAGCGAGTCTTCTTTCAGCAGTCCAGTCTGCCACCGGGTTGTATCCACCGGCGGCAGGCAGGTTTATGAGACTACCTGTAGGCCTGTTGTTTTGGCAAGTCTTGCTTTTTTCTTTCATACCTTTTGATGCTTTTTTTCACTCTTAACATTCTTAGGATGCAAAATATTTATTAAGCCAAGACTGTCTGCTGGATTTTTCCCCCAGTCATTCTGTGCTTTATGATTTAAACCATTCGAAACTGTGTGCTTATTTATGCCACTTTATTTATGCCACTTCTCCTTCTTTTTTTTTTTTAAGGACAAGAGTCAACCCAAAAGTAAATGTGGACACATTTGAGATGACAGCATCTGGTCATAAAAACCATGACATTTTTGCATGTGTTTTTCCTGCCCAGAAATTTCCAATATTAAGTTTTGTTTGCCAAGTTCTATAACAGTAGCAGTTCCAAGCTGCTGTGCTGTAGTGTTACAAATTTTAATCTTCCGGTGGTGGAAGCAGGAAGACCAAACAACCTATTTTTTTAAAAAACAGTCACAGTAAAAATGATTAAACTTATTTCCCTCAAGCTGCAGCTACTCACAGCTTATACTTTAGAGGGTCAATTCAGTTGCCCAGATGGCTGCCCCAGCACTCCGAGGTATCAGGCAGGACGGACTGGACTGGCAGTTATGGCAGAGCATCCACGGAGAGAAGGGTGACCTGGAGCAAAACCTGGGGCCTCACAGGATGTGTCTGCATCATTTTTCCCTCCAGTGCAGCTGCCTGCTTCATAGGTTTTCACTGCATCGTCACTGCAGTGGTCGCTAGATGAGAGCTGCTGACTAATGGACTGCACGTGCGCATTCACTTTGGTTTTTAAGGTGTCAGCAAAGTTTGGATCCTACTTAGTATTTAACTCTCTAAATCAGGTATTTCACTTTCAAAAGCTGTGAGCGTCTTGCAGTGTCTGTGTAGTGCTTTTACACTTCTGGGAAATCAAATAACGGTCCCACAGCTAAAGGTAGCTTTTGAAAAGCTTGCTGTTGGCTGCGTCTTTCTGATAATCAAGAGAGTGAAGTATTTTGTATGTGTGTACGCACCTGGACATCAGCTTGGCCACCCACAGTGTTTTCCCTGTATGTCTTATTTACTGGGCTATAAAACTGTTCACACCTTGGCACCAGTGTATCTATTCATTTCTGTCCCACAGACTGAAAACACCATATTAAAGTGCCTGAAGCTGATCTAACAGTAGGATGCAGACATCTGTAAGTGTAGACCAAACAGTTGGAACTAGGTGGGGAGGAAAAACCAGCAAAATATGGCTGGAACTAGAGACTCAGTACTTGAAAAAATGATTTTAGGCAAGCCTGTTTCTGGTATGTTAATTATTCTGGCATGTACACCCAGACTGGTCTTCCTGGCAACTGCAGGAGGAGTTTAAGGATCGGAGGGAAGAACGTTTGGAGTGTAGCAGGACAGCACTGTAGTGAATTCCTGTATGCTGCATCTTGGCTGGCAGAAAGTGAATGTTGGCTTAGACTAAAAGGCAAAGGAAGAACACTAACCTACTTTTGGTGTGTATGGGACCATATTTGTAACCTCAGTGATGGACTTTCTTTTCAGAATAATCAGTGCATTCCAGCTGGGTTGGAAAACTACTACTCTGAACAAGACTCCAGTGCTCGAGGGAAGTTTTACACAGTCATAAACCACTACAACCTGGCCAAACAAACCATCACGCGCTCAGTGTCCCCGTGGATGACAGTACTGTCGGAAGAGAAACTCTCTGAACAGGAGACTGAAGCTGCTGAGAAATCAGCTTAGTGTGATATGCTAATTCTTAATGCTATGTCATTGAAGGTAACTAAGGGACTTTAAGGAACTTTTAATGAAATATAATTATGGATAATTTAGAGGTTACTCATGTTTATGGTGCAATTGCTTCTGTTTGCTGATACTGCTTTGCAAAAAACAAAACAAAACTTGCTGCAGAACATTCATGGGCATAAAACAAGGTGCATATCAGCATTGCTTTAGAGCTCTGACACCATTTTCAATGTTAAAAAAAAAAATCCAATGTTAGATATGTTCTTGCAGTTTATTGGATACTGACAGATTTCTTCACTGGATTTTCAGGGTTTGGACCATAGGTAAATCATGTGTTCTGTTGTCTGAACTGATACTTTATTTATTAATTTTTTTATTCTTTGTCATTTTGCAAACTGAAACACCCCAGATGTAACTAGAGTGATCTCTTGTTTAGCTGAAAGCTGTATTTAATCTTTAGTTTTGGCTCAGGCAAGAACGATAGTCAGCACTGATGTCAAAGGCATAATGTAATGACTTGTATGGAGAAAGAAACTGTCAGGTAGCATTTTTCTTACATTTTCTTTACTGTTGTTTATTTGTAAGTGATAATGAAGTTCTCTGCAACAAGGCATGCTTAATGTTTTATTATTGCTGTCAACAGGATTTAACTGCATTTCCACTGTGGCTTTAGCATCTTGGTAAGGATGTGCACTAAAACACAAACTAGATAGATAGACATGAAGGAAAAAACACAGACCGTTTGAGCGATGGATGTTGAGGATAGTGTAAAAAAATACAGCTCAAGATGTTCTAATGAGAAACAACATCTTTTGATCATACTTAAGAGGCTGAAAGCCTATTCACAGTAGATGTGGTCCACTCTGTCATTTGTTGGTTACAACTGAGGGAATAAAAGTCTAAATTTTCTCTTATTACGCTACCATTTCCCTTTTTAATTAATTAGAAAGAGCTTTCAGTCTATGTATGGTTTGCAGTTTCATACTTTTTAAAACACAGAGCATCACAAGTGAAACAATAATGTATTAGATAACACAATTGGCTGTTTTAAAGCTACATGTGGAACAGAGTGAAGAGTAGAACTGTTTATGTAGGGCTTGGGAGGGGAAAAGATGTAGAATAACTTAGTATTGTGGATGCACGTTAAAGTTCCATTGTAATTACAAACTTATCTATTCTTTGTGTGAAACCATGTTTTCATTTTATTATAAAACTTAAATATACATTACAAAAAAAGACATCTTACCAATGTAACAGACAAAGCTAAGCATGTGAAGCAGCTGGGCAAGCAAGTCACATTTTTGGTCATGTAACTTGAATGGGACAAGGTGCAGTGGACATGTCAAAAGTTCCTTTTTTTGTTTTTGTACAGAGTAGATAAAAATGAAGGAAAAACATCAGTATGGGCTCTGTCTCAAGATCTGTAGTAGAACAAACTTTAATTTTTCTACAGTAAAATTGCTTTATCAACAGCCTTTCTTACCAATACAGTAAAAACAGCCATTCTTGAGGTTTGCTATGAAATGTGCATTACACAGTAGATCTGTAAAAGGCTTTTTATTAAGTCATCATGGTGTGTGGAATGCATGAAAAGCAATAAATTCTGTGCCAAATTTTTCTTTGCATTTAAAAATTTCAAGCTAATATAAAGATACTAAAACATACCATTTTTGCATTTTCTAATAGGTATATGCTTTATTGAATGTAATTAATTCACATGTAACTTTTGACATTTTCACTCTGTGCAGAGTAAAGAATAAGGATGATGCTGCTTGTTGCATATAATGTATAGAAATATACATTTCAGAAGAGAGATAGCAGAACACATATTTCATATCAACACATTTACAGAAGACATTCAGATTTTACAACATGGAAAGATCTGTTCCCCAGGACTGTCCTACATAGCAATGATTCATGATATCTCTCCTCCCCTTAAATTTAGGACAATAAAAAATTTAATGCACAAGTAAATACTGATGAGAAACAACTTATTTCTCTCTCTCGTAAAAATAAACATTAAAAAATGCTAAGCTTTACAATCTAGGGGAAAGAGATTGCTTATGCTTCTTGAAGTGAAAGTAATTTTTTCCTGTGATTTAACAGGAGGAGTTTATCAATTCTTATCTACAGTTTGTTTTGAAACTTTATTTTTTAGTACTCCCAATATTTTTTACGCTCCCAATTTTAGTACTTTGAAGAGTTTGGCTTCAATACTGCCTATCCTTTGGCTTTGTTCTGACAGCCCAGAACATCTGTTTCACTGCACAGTCTGTTTGTGTTGGGTTCTCTCTTTTCACCTAGAAGTAAAGCTCTTCAGTTGACTTCTTATCGTTATTATTATTACTATTAAATCCACCCAGTCTCTAACTCGAGTAGTTTCAAAGGATTAGAAGTAGAGGTCATACATGTGCAAAATGATCCCTGTGTACTGAAGTGGTATGATTAAATAAAAGTCTGAGACAGTGTAGATGCTTTTGCACAGTAACAGTTTTCTCTTGATGTGATCTGCACACTGGGAGCTGGACTTCACACGTCACAGATGTGTGGGTGACTACGATAAAACCATTACTGTTTTTTTTCCTTCTGTTAGCTATGCTCCAGCTCCAAGTCTTTCAGATGTTTCTGTGTTATTTGCAGGATTAAGTGTGGTTTTATGTTTGATAACAGGATTTAAAATGAATGCTATCAGCTCCCTCTGCTCTGATGGATATATGCACATGCTTATTTATTGGAAAATATTTCCATCATAGCGGTGTGAAAAAAATGCATAAAATATACAGGTATGGTGGATACCCCGCTCCATAGAAAATGTCTGAAGTTGTACAAAGTATGTAGACAATATTACATTTTAATTAATTATCATACCAGTCCAGGAAAAGCAAGGAAAATGAACACATCACAAGGAAGAACAGGATCCATACTCTGAATCCAGCGTTGTTTTTGATGGCCTGCGAGGAAAAGGTTATCTCCGTTACCATCACCAGTAAACATACAGCAGAATTCCAACAATGGCAACCCAGGATGCCTCTTAGTGGCTTCACTCTTCCCTCCCACAGGAGAAAGAACAAAACTTGCCCTTAATTTCAGGTGAATGAAAGTCAGGTTGACTATACTTCTTTAGATATATTACACTAAAGTTTCTCTCAAAATCGGTCATTAAAAAAAAACCAAACAAAAAAAACCCCGAAAAAACACACAAACCAAAAATATCCCAAGATCCCACACAATGGAAATATACTCAAACCATTAAGAACAACATTAAAACATACATACTTAAAGGTTAGTTTTAATTCCACAAGTGAAATTCTATGATTAGAAATAATGAGGCCTTGATCATTGTAATAAACATCATCTGACAAAAAAACCCCAAACAACAGCCAACCAAAAAAAAAAACCTCCAACCCAACAGCTCTTTCTGGAGGTTGATTTAGCTCTGCCAATCACATATTTCAGTCTCAGAGCAAGTTAAAGCAAGGAGAAAGTATTTTTCTTGGATTCTCCTTCCCAAACGTATCAGGGGACCTGTTCTCTCAGATTTTTCAGATTTACACATGGAATAGATTTTACTTTTTTTTTTTTTAATGTGATATAAACACTAATGTGAATGATGAAGTTTTGTATTTATCACCTTTCTCTACTGTTTTTCATTGTGGTTTAGGAAACTTAGTTCTACCTACAAATGGGAAGCAAAAATAGCTTCAGTTCAGGCCAGGTTTGATGCACTTTTCATGAGAGCTGAGCAGTAAATAACTCATCCGTGAGTTACATATTCTTTGTGCTTTCAGGAGGGAGGAAAAAAAAAAGAACTGAAGCATTTACTCAGTAGCCTGAGTTAGGAGCTCTGTTTTTATTGAAATCTCAGCTCCTGGAAGATAACATTTCATTCTAATTAGTAAGACAATGGGGTGGATTTGCTTACTAGGAGCATGTGAGATACATTCAGCATGGTAAAGAGACTCTTCTGTTAACACTCAGCATTTAACTCGTTTCAGCACCGTCTTATTCTTAGTCTGCAATTTCTCCCTCCTCCCCTTTACAAAACCAAACAGACTTCACACATGCTTTAATTCATGCCAGCTGACCTTCATGTTTAAAAAACAGGTGAGGCCAAGCAGATTTCTGCAGACCTGTGTAGCTGTTCACATCTCTGTTAGCAACACAACTATTCCAGCTGCCAACTATTGAGAAGCTCAGCTAACTTGTACAGTTTTTCCAAAATTGTGTCCCGACACCCCAACACGCTGCACCTGTCCTGGGGGTGAACTCACACGTGCTGTTGAAAGCAACACTTGGGCAAAACTGCAAATTAAGAGACACAAGTAAGTTTAAAACAATGTAGAGGCATCACCTCTCTTATATCTTCGTTGCCTTCTTTGATATTTTCTGTTGCACCCACAACTAGTTGATGGATATTGTCAATATCGGTTTCCTGTTAAAATAAATAAAATAGAAACAGTGATGAATTAAGAAAAAAATGACTTCCAGGGACTTGGGGAACAAACAGAACTCAAAAATAAATTAAAATCTGGTGTTATTATCATCTTAGTTTTAATGATGCAGAGGCAATTAAGTTGTAATTTCTTTACCTGTGATTTTATGAGCCTCAACAGAGAGCACCAATATCAACAGGAAGTCTCCCGTTTATCTAGAATCAAATCTAACCAGTCTAATTTTTACCAGCTCCTTTGGAAGAGGTGCCACCATTTCCAGAAAAGATGCCATTAAGTAGTACAATTCAACAGGACACTAATTCTGAGGCAGAGGGATCATTTGCACACACACTGCATTTTCCATTCCCAGTACATACTGATAAGTAACAACAGTAAATATCTCGATTTTGCATTTGAAAAACAAAAATATTTTCCTTCACATTTGTGTCAAAGATTCATTAATCTTACATTTACATCTGGCGTGCAACCAAGACCAAAATGTCTCCAAGAAAATCTTCAAGCTGTATTTGCTGCTGGAGTACTAAATTATACTAACCTGTTGCAAGACCTTTTCAGTGAATATTTCTTGTAGTCTGGAGATTTCCACCACTTTTCCTTCAATTTGTCTTGGCAAAGAACAGAAATACCCCATTAGACACTACTGCAAACATTTCTTGCTCCTGCAGATTCAGCTTCTCCATCCCAGTAAGCGGGCGAGTCAAAGGCACACCTATTTTGTTAGCCATCAGCTGCAGTGATAGCCTGGGATCAGTGCTCTGACAATTCATGGTTGGAAGACGACCAGCCCACAGTGATGCATGGTCTGAATGTTGGGACTGTCCTATGCTAGGGCAAGAGTTGGACTTGATGATCCTTGTGCACCCCTTCCAACTCACAACATTCTATGATTCTATGCTCTGGGGAAGGCACCACCTGGAAGGTGGCAGAGAGCAGCCATCACTGCGAGAGCTTCACCTATCTTCCTTCTTCCATCCATGACCCTAAGTAGTCAATGTTGACATACCCTTACTAGATGCTGCTGTGAAGTGTGGAATTCACCTTGGCTGGTACTGATACTCCAGAAATAAAGCTCTAGCTGGAGTTGGCCGTTCAGGTTTTCTGCACAGCCAGTGAAGAGCAAACGGCACCGCTGCTCTGCCATAAGGAAAGACGGGTCTCTCTGCCTGGGGGTCAGTGATGGCGCCTCCCCTGCTGCTGTCTGCATATGCAGCGGACAGTGCGATATGAATGGAAAACATCATCCTTTAAAACTTCTCTATAAGGGAGCTAGAATGTAAACCTCCCAATGTACCCAGTGCTAGCGGGGAGCTGGTGTGTCCCTCAGAACCATTCTTTACACTGTGGGACAGCACGATGTGTGATGCACACAGTTCATTTCCTGGGCACTCCTGTTTTGTCCCTGCTTCTACCACACTGCTGCAATTCACAGAGCCAGGTGTCCTGGAGCAGACACTTGTGTGTAGGTGTTGGCCAGGTTAGGGGACCAGCATGTGCAGCCATCTGCCAAATAACAAAAAACGGTACCTGACTTCATCAAAGAGGTTATTCATTTCACCAACAAGCCTCTGGTTCTCCTGTTCAAACTGGAAGAAGGAAATCACGTAAGTTCACATGTTTGGACTTGGGGAATTTTCTTCAAACCCCACCCCATACCAACTTCCACCCTTCCTTGCCATCTATTTACAGTATGTCTCAACTAAAGAGATCTTCAAGAATTACTAATACTGGTCTAAATGAACAATATGGATCTTTTTATTTGCACCCCGTCACTGTAACACTTTGTCATTCTCCTCCCATTAGTGAAACAAACCCCAAAATAACTTGAAGATTTTGCTCAAGTTACTTTGCAGTAAAGAAAAATACAGTGGATGAAATCTGTCCTTTTTTATTGTTTGAGATATTGAGTGGGGAAAGCTTTCAGGCTCATGAAAGCATGTGATTCTTTTCATGATACCTTTGCACTGCCATTCACATTATTCACGTACTGCCCACGGTATGAAGTTAAGAGCTTTTACATTTTGCTACAATATGAAATATTTTGACATCTAGTACTTCATACTTTACAAACGCACTGGCTTTAGTTATTCCAGCAGACCTCTTCCATTTAAAACTCGTGTAATCAATGAAACATTTTTTTAGCACTACATTTTTCCTGCATAAATAGAAAACTTTATGCAGGAAAATAAGCTTTGACTTTTTAGATGTACTGGACTGTCAGGTCATTTGGGATTCATTACAGAACAAGTGATCATGCAGCAAGTATGATGACACAGTGTGCTGAAACAAAACCTGCACAGCCAAAATACAGCCGAGGAAGGTATCCCATGTTGTAGTGGAGTTTGTTGGAAACCACATCATAAGGACTGTTTCAGAAAGAACCTGTTAGGACATACTGAGCTGGGATTTCAAGGTGTCTGAATGAGTCTGACCCTCCAGTCTGGCAGCCAGCCACAGCTGGTTAAAAGCCCAGGGCGGGCCTGCAGCTTCCTGCCCAACACCTCCTGGGGAGCACTCCGGCCGAAAGGCTCCTGCCATCAGGGACAGCAGAGCACCCCGTACTGGAAGGGTAACAAGTCCCATTTTGGGACAAGGATAGGAAACACATTCAAGGTATTCTGATGTGGCCAAAGCCTTGGTAACAGCTGGACCTTTGTGGTATGAACACAACTGACTAGATCTTGACCTGGACATGCTGGAGAGTTGGGCAGAAA